CTGTTACTTTTGTTTACAATTAAGGAAACTGAGGCTTAGAGAGGTTGAGTAGCAGTAGTGGAAACAGAGCCCAGATCTGATAAGACATGACTCTAAAACTCTTCTCAAGGCCCCCACCCTATGTTAGGTTACTGTGACCATTCAAACCCAAAGAAAGCATAGATGCCTCCTCTATTGCTTTTGCATCTGTTCACAGCCAGGCTCAGTATCTAATGGGTGCCCTTCTAGTGTTTGTGAGGGAAACAATTGATATTTGATGAGAGCATGGGCTCTGCAGTCAGGGAAACCTAGGTTTAAGAGCCAGACCTTCTCACCATTAGCTGTATGACTTTAGACAAGTTACTTGACCTAACTAAACTCCAATTCCCAAGTGAAGAACCAGGAAAAGCAATATCTATTAGAGAGTGATTGTATTGATTAAATGAAATAACACATGTGGAGTGCCAGGCCCATAGCTGAAGCTCAACAGAAGGTGGAGATCATCTGACATATTCCTGCTTGTTGATCCACAGATGGAGAGGAGAAGCAGATAGGGCCAGGGTCAAAGCCCCTGCCCCGTGGCTTCTGCTTATGAATTATCTCCAAGAGCTTCAGTTTCCTCTGTGGGAGGAGACACTTTTAGTTGAGGTTTTGATCAACCGACATAAACATATACAAATTTTGAGGTCCCCAGGATGGTCTCGATCTCCTGACCTCGTGATCCGCCTGTCTCGGCCTCCCAAAGTGCTGGGATTACAGGCTTGAGCCACCGCGCCCGGCCCTCAGTCCAATTTTTAATTCACATTGCATTCATGCTTTCACCCCAGGACATTTCTCTCATCCTAGCCATATGGCTTATTTTCTCTCGGTAAACCTCGCACCCTTGGGACTAGATAGAAACATTTGGAGAGCAGACTCCAGAAACAGTCCCAGATAAGCTCCTCCTCAGGGACAGCAATGGTGTTCATGCCACTGCCTGCTCATCTCGGGCCCACTGGAGTGCCTCCCACCCCAACTGTGTGGTGGAAGTCCACAGGAGAAGCAAGAGGGGACTTACAGTGGATTTTGAAGTCCTTGTACTGTCTGTCTTCAATCGCTACCACGTACAAAGCTGCCCGGTCTGGAAACATAAGCCCTCCAGGTTTCTGTTGATGAATTGTGGGGAAATGGGTCTCGTAATCTATTCACCTGACAAAGACATCACATTTTGAACCGCACATAGAGTCACCAGACAAGCACCCCCTTGCCAGCATCACTCATGCAGTGGACTGCCACCTTGTCTGGGGCGAGGGCTAGGACAGCAATGCTCAATTTTTATTTTGGAGCAAGGAGAATTTAAGGGACCTAAGTAGAGTCAATGGGACAAGTGAAGTGGGGTGAAGGTAAACCCAGTGAGGAGCAGTGAGAGATGTTATGACTTTGGCCTTGAGAAGCCCAGATGACTAGCACACCCGGTTCTGGCAGCCATGCAAGTCCTAAGTACTTCTTGATCAAAACGGACCTTTAATTTGGGAGAATGAATGTCTATTATTGCAAAAGAGGCCGAGGTGAGACCCACAGAAGTCCACTCTGATGGTTACACATGCTGGACCCAAGACGACCATTCTAGTCCCTGATACAGATCTGCTCTAAAGAGAGGGGCCTGGGGCAGTGACCTCCTAGCCTTAGTCTTCTCTGAAGTCCTCGTATGCCCCCTAGGCTGCAGGCCTTGGGTAGAGCAGCAGGACAGCCAGCCGACCAATGCAGGGACAGCATGCAGGACACTTACCAGCCACTTGTCCCTGGCAAAGATCACCGTGTTGAGCATGGACTCATAGAACAGACAGTAGCCCATCCACTCGCTGATGATGATGTCCACCTTCTCCACAGGCAGCTCCACCTCTTCCACTTTACCCTTAAATATGGTGATGACTGGAAAATAAGAACCCCAGGGCCATGCTTTGCAAGGACCCCACCCAGGAACCACAAGCACCTCACTTCAGGGCCAGATCTCCAGATTTCAGCCCTATTCCAATTCTACTTTTAGGATGTGACATAGCTCACCCTTCACCAAGCTAGTTTATACCAACATAATTGAAAACTACCTCCACGTTTTCCCTGTAAAATAAATCGAGCCATTACTATGTGCCTGGCATAGCGCTAAGCCTGTTACATGCACAGTATTACATCATCCTTCCAACAGCCCTGTGAGGTAAGCACATTACAGTTGACCCTTAACAACTCGGGTTTGAACTGCACAGGTTCACTCATACACAGATTTTTTTTTTTTTTTTTTAATTTACACCAAGTGTGCCTACCTCCCCTTCCACCTCTTCCACCTTGGTCACCTCTGTCACTCCTGAGACAGCAAGGCCAGCCCTTCCTCTCCCTCCTCCTCAGCCTATTCCGTGTGAAGGCAATGAGGACAGAGACCTTCATGCTGATCCACCTCCACTCAATGAGTAGTAAATATATTTCCTCTTCCTTAGGATTTTCCTAACAATTTTCTTTTCTCTGGCTTACTTTATGATAAGAATACAGTCTATAATACATATACGAGATATATGTTAATTTTTTTTTTTTTTTGAGACGGAGTTTCACTCTTGTTTCCCAGGCTGGAGTACAGTGGCAAGATCTTGACACACCGCAACCTCCGCCTCCCAGGTTCAAGCGATTCTCCTGCCTCAGCCTCCCAAGTAGCTGGGATTATAGGCATGTGCCACCATGCCCGGCTAATTTTGTATTTTTAGTAGAGATGGGGTTTCATCATGTTGGCCAGGGTGGTCTCAAACTCCTGACCTCAGGTGATCCACCTGCCTTGGCCTCCCAAAGTGCTGGGATTACAGGGATGAGCCACCACACCCAGCCAATATGTGTTAACTGACTATGTTATCAGCAAGACTGCTGGTCAACACTAGGCTGATAGTAGCTTAGTTTTGTGGGAGTCAAAAATTACGCTTGGATTTTCAACTGTGTGGGGGATTGGCACCCCTAACCCCTGTGGTGTTCAGGGTCAACTGTTACTTTTGTTTACAATTAAGGAAACTGAGGCTTAGAGAGGTTGAGTAGCAGTAGTGGAAACAGAGCCCAGATCTGATAAGACATGACTCTAAAACTCTTCTCAAGGCCCCCACCCTATGTTAGGTTACTGTGACCATTCAAACCCAAAGAAAGCATAGATGCCTTCTCTATTGCTTTTGCATCTGTTCACAGCCAGGCTCAGTATCTAATGGGTGCCCTTCTAGTGTTTGTGAGGGAAACAATTGATATTTGATGAGAGCATGGGCTCTGCAGTCAGGGAAACCTAGGTTTAAGAGCCAGACCTTCTCACCATTAGCTGTATGACTTTAGACAAGTTACTTGACCTAACTAAACTCCAATTCCCAAGTGAAGAACCAGGAAAAGCAATATCTATTAGAGAGTGATTGTATTGATTAAATGAAATAACACATGTGGAGTGCCAGGCCCATAGCTGAAGCTCAACAGAAGGTGGAGATCATCTGACATATTCCTGCTTGTTGATCCACAGATGGAGAGGAGAAGCAGATAGGGCCAGGGTCAAAGCCCCTGCCCCGTGGCTTCTGCTTATGAATTATCTCCAAGAGCTTCAGTTTCCTCTGTGGGAGGAGACACTTTTAGTTGAGGTTTTGATCAACTGACATAAACATATACAAATTTTGAGGTCCCTTTTTATATTTGTTGCTGTAAAGATCTGAGCAAGCTAGCTTCGAGACCACGGTGAAATTGGCGGGCCGAGGTACTGGTCGGCTTGTTCTTCCTGAACTTTTCCTTTGACAGGTTACGTATATTCATGCTCTGAAACTCTCATTCTGCAATATCCTCTGAAAAAAAACCTCACGCCATGCCCAAGCTTTGCTGGGAAAAATGAACAATGGCCTGTACTTAGGAGTAGAAATCAAAAGAACCACATCTGCTTAGAATCTGAGTTTCATGAAAATTAATTTGGACTGCAGGCTCCTGGATGGCAAAGGACACACCGTTTGCTGGCTTTACTTAGTGTCTTCACAGTGAATAATGCAGGTGATGGAGTGTCCATTAGCAGCTTCTGATGACAGTTTACTCTCCACTATGTGGTATTTAATCAAGCTTTAATCGGATACAGCCTGTTCTACAAGGAGTAAGGCACTTTGTACACATGCATTGACCCTGATCACTCTACAGTGAGGCTCAGGCTTGTGTGACCCTCCTGATTGGTTACTACTCATCAGCCCCTACCATTAAAAAGTAGGAGCAGGAAAAGCTATTCTCCAAAAGGTCTGGAGGGACTGGGAGGGGTAGGTGTCGAAGTTTCTCTTGGCCTCAGAGACCCCAGAGCAGGAGCTCACCTGAGAGCAGGGCCCAGGTTGCACTAAGAAAATTCAGAGGGGGGTAAAGGATTTTTAAACATGCAAACATTGTGCCTAATTTACTTCCTATTTTGAAAGAGAACTGACAAATATATGCATGACTCACCTGCCGAATCAGTTGCACGCAAAGCCTGGCTTGTCTTAGTTTTGTAAACTTAAAAATTGTCTTTAATGGCCTCTCTTATTTTTTTTTCTTTGTACATTTCTTGAAGGTTCCTCCCTAATGTCTGCCTGTGTCTGTGTGGCTATGGGTCAAGTCTCCCTTATTTTTTTTTTCTTTGTAGATTTCTTGAAGGTTCCTCCCTAATGTCTGCCTGTGTCTGTGTGGCTATGGGTCAGGTCCTCCTCCTGCATTTATATCATGACCTCCCTGCAGCTCCGGAAGATGTTTTCTCCTGCCTCTGGGGCCTCATGACCTCCACCCTGAGTGTTTAGAACAAGGCTCCATCCTTGACAGGTTTTTAGGACAGGACTCCATTAGGAGCTGCAGGAAACAGACAGGCAGTAATCCATTATCTAGTCTAACAACAGGTACGTGTGAAATATTCCTCGGGTGTCCCCCAAAGACAGTTACTGCTGCTCATGTTCTCTGTGTTAGCCCTCTTATCCATTAGTTGCTGTATCCTCATCAATATGGATTACAAGAGATTATTGATAGATGGACAGATGATATACATAGATGATATAGAAGACAGATGGATGATAGATAGATACAGTGGTCACAGAATAGCAAAAATCACAATCTCTGCTTGCAAAAAGGAAGAATCAGTTAACCCTATAAAATGCTCAACAGTCTGGACTTCTGTTCTCTTAGCATCACCCTTCTACATCTATTCAAGTGCAAACATTTCTCAGTGTGGACATGGCCCCACAGTTGCCTTGGTGAGGAGATGAGCCCTTTGTCAAAGGAAAAGGAGACATCTCCCTTCAATCCAGTGCTGGACTGGTTTTCAGACTCCAATTATTCCCTTTCGCCGGTGCTTTTGTGCTCAACCTGCACACCTTTATCCTGGAATCCTAAAAGGCAGCAACTTATGCTCTTGTTCCAGCTGACAGCTAATCTCGATCAACTATTTCCTCTCTTTTATTTTCCTCGTTAGGAAAATAAAAAAGAAGGGAGGTTGAATCTGAAATTCTTTGCAGTGTCAGAAAGCTGTGGTTCTTCAAATATGTACTGAACACTTGCTCTGTGTCAGGCATTCTGCAAGATTCAGTGGTGGAGACAGCTGGCATCAATAAAAAGATGGTGCCCGCGAGTTCCAGTGTGACTGTCATTTTCAACACTTCCTGGGTCCTTTTATTTTTATTTTTAAGAGGTCACATTGTTTCTGTGCAGCCAAATACAACTGTCCAGCTGAATCACCGTGGATATTCTTCCTGTAGTCTGTAGTCACCACCAGCAACCACTTAAACTTCCAGATGCAATTTCCAAATCTACAAAATGCTACCTCTCATGTTGGGGCTTACGCCAGCTCACTAGGGGCTATTGGCCAACATAGGGCATTAGGCTGGCTCAAGGAACTGTGTGGGCACACACAGCAGCAGTCTTCCCTTCTCCTCCATGCAAAGGATGTTCAAGGGAGTCTAAGCTATTGATATTAAGATTCTGAGCAGCCACAGGCTGCAGAACTCCATGCCCAATCTGGACCCCACGTCACTCAAACTGCCTCAGCTCAAGGTTGCATTGCTGTCACTGTCCAGATCCATGTTTTTATTCCATAAAGATGATGGAAAGTTCGTTCAACGAACTGTGACAGGACCCTGGCTGGTAAATTTTAGAATGATTAATCATAACTAAATGCACAACGGGGAGCAATCGACTCTAAATTGGGAAAATTTCCCCTGGAGCTTCAAGTTTGTAAATTAGACATCCAGGATTTAAAAAAATGGTTTTGAGTGGAATTATTTTTTTTCTTTGTGGTGTGAGTGGTTCTTACAGAAATCTAGTTATTCTCATTAATGGTCATTTTTGTTTTTAAACAAATCAGGCCAGCTCAACTTCATTTGAGCCTCCTGCGCGTCCATCAGGGTCAGCTGGTGCCCATAGGATCTGCAGTGAGTGATCATTTTTAGGGTCCTCAGATCCTGTCCCACAGAAGAGGAGGAAAGAGGGTCATATGCGTGGGAACAGGGAACACATTATGAGCCTGTGAAGCCCCCTGAACCCCCCGCCAGCCCCACTGCAGCAAAGCCCCTTGCTCGCCCTCCCCACTCCCTTGGTCCTGGCTCACACACCTATTTTGGTGACACCCACGCTGGCTGCCTTGCACCTGCGGAGGGCCCGGCTCACCTCCAGCGTATGCACTCCTTCTCTTCGTTGTCTATTTTAGCTTCCTATTTCCAGGATATAGTGGAGCACTTGACTCCTCACAAACAGTCAAAGTCATTACTGAATGAACGGATGGATGAATGAGCAATTAAAAAAAAAAAAAGGGCATCGGGTTAAGAGACAAAAGATATTCAAACTAGTCCTAATTGTGACAGTAAAAAATTACTAGCATTTGAATAGCAGCTTGCAGAGTGATGTTCCGTGTGTTACTTCAGTAATCCTCCTAGGAACTTGTG